TTAAGCTGTAACTTTAACTACTAGTTTTCTTATGTAGTGTATTGCGAAATATATATTATTCTTTAATGAATTCAAATATAACGTATACGTCTTTAGTGTCTAATTAAAGTAAATAAATAACAATAAATAAATAATATAAAATTCATAAATAAGTAATAAATAAATCATAAATACCTAATAAAATCAACAACAAATTTCAGTACATTTTACACAAGTCTCGTTAATAATAAAAATCTTTTCATCTTAAGACCCCAAAAATAACGCATACGCATTAAAAAAAGAAATGAAATTTTGCTCAAGTCTCACAAAAAGTAATAACATTTTCATTTTAAGAACTCAAATAAATCGCAAACGTTCTTAAATGGCGTGCAAAAAGAAGATTAAATTTTACATAAGTCCCTTAATAATAATCTCGTATTTAAAAGTTTTCTGGCCTTCAGCCCACTGTGCAATGTCTGCGCTTTAAAAGTTGGTTTTTTTTTTTGTTTGAAAAAGGTTTTGTAAGCATTGCAGTTCACTGCTTCAATTGTTGTTGTTGTTGTTTTTGTTGTAGTTGTAGTTTTGTATTTTGCTATTGATGACTGCTGTTTGCTTTGTGCACTCCTGTTTTAAAGTTCAAAGGTGCTTTTGGCGCTTGTTTTTTGGCGTGAGAACCAAAGTGCAAAAGTGTTTTGCGCTTACAGGCAACATATACAGTTACAGTTACTCGTTATTCGTTACTCGATTAAATTGTGGATTTATTGCCTATATAAAGATATCATTAATTTAAATAGCTGTTGTTGCTTGTCAACTTACTTTAGCCTTAGCCATTTGTGGATGCGCAAAAGTTGCTCACAAAAAGTGCAGTAGCATTTTCGATTAGCTGTTGTTTCTGTGATTAGAAGTTATTCACTTGTTGCTGTGGCTATTGCTGTTGTTGTTGTTTCTCTTGATTCTCTTCTTTACACTTTTCATACTACGCCGAGCTTTTGGCGCAGCTTGTCTGTATACGCGTGCGAGCGGGATGGCAATAGTTGTTGCTATGATTGTTTGTTTTTTTACTTTTATTTACTTTTTTCTTTTTTTTTGTATTACGTTGGGGTATTACCAAAAAAACAAACTGTGCAGTAAACAACTTTACTTTACTTAATTATTGCTTATTCCCCTTGGCTTTTCTGTGATGTGTATACTCTAGTATTATTCTTTTTTGTTTCATTTGGTTTCGTTTCGTTTCATATTTAATGAATTTGACCCGCTTTGAGGCTTTTGTTGTTTTTTCAAGTTGTTTACTTTGAATATCGAAGTTGAATTTCGACGTTTTATTCTACGTAAAAAAACACGTTAGCTTTTTTTGATTTTTCTTTAGCATTTGCTTTTATTTTCCATTTATTTATTTATTTGTTGTCAACACACCAACTCACCAACACACTGACACACACTCACACACACACGCACACAAGCTCAGCTTTTGGCTAAGATAATATTTTCATGAATTTCGTGAAATTTTCAGTTGCGCGCGCGCATTTCTTAGCACCCACGAATTGTTATTTGCTGCTGCTGCTATCCCCTCTCTCTCTCTCTCTCACACAATCTCTCACTCTCTATGCAAGCGTTTGCTCTCGTTGTGCTTGTGGGTGTTGCTCGTGGCGGGGAGGGTAGACGTATGAAATAAGCAGCGCGCGTTCCGCTTTTTGAACTGTTGGCCACAAGCTGCGCGAGACGACTGAGCGACCGAATTCTTCACAGGTGCTCTGAGCTGCGCCTTGTGCTTTCAGCTTTAAGCGAAGCTTAAAAGCTCACCTGAGTGACAGCTTTCGACGATTCATTGAGCGGGGTGTAAAGCGACATCTGGCGACTTTGTTAAGGTGGGAAAAGCTCTGGGTTTTAAGATAAATAAATGTCAATTGACAAAGTGTAGATTTTTGTACACCCTATAATTTGAATCAAATGTATGATGTATGTACAACATACATAGTGTATTATAATTAAATTTATATATTTTTAAAGATAATATTTTAAGTCCCCAGAAAATACTTTTCATGACTTTAAACTCCCATAACTTAGTGAAAACTCAACCAATTTCGAAAAGGGATACCTTTTTGGGAAGGATTTTATATCTAAATCAATACTGCATTTAAATGTAGAAACGCGATTTTTAGTAGGAATTCAAATAAAAATTCTGTGCCAAAACATCCAAAAAACAGTTCCAAACTCTGCCATTTTTTCCAGAGTATCTACATAAGTTCTCTTACATATTATATCTTAATTTATCGCTTTATTCAAATTACAGATAAAGTTATTTTTATTACAGTCATCAATCATTTCTCACTCATCAATCAAACAATCCACGAAAATGTATTTTTTTTTTGGGTGTGTTTGTTTCAAGCTCCATTTGATTTACTACTTACACTTTTTATTGTAATTTAACAATCTCAAATAAAATCAACATTAAATCAGCGCAGCAAACAAAAATCAAATAAAATCGATTCACGTTAGACGCTCTGCTTTTAAAGCAGCGATCGATTCGAAATCGAATTCAAATTCGAACTCATTACGAAAGCGCCGCCCAAAAGGCAAGCCGCAAAAAGCGCTCGGACACCATGCGAAGTAATAGGCAGGGGAGTGTGGGGTGCTTTTGTTGATCTTAAGTGGGGGGAGGGGGTTTTAAGCAATTGTTGATTTATCTCTCTGCTGCTGCTGCTGACGCTTCGTTTGCTGCTGCTGCGGCTGAGGCTGCTGCTGCGACTTACTACTGACCAAGTTTATAAAACTTTGGGCCCACAATGCATGCGTCGCACAGTTGCTTCGACAACGTTGCGACGACAGTCGGTTCGTTCGTCTTCCCTGCTCCACCTCCACTTCCCACCACCACCCCCCGCGTAAAACGAAATTTTTGGTCGATCGGCAAACGAGTTGCAGGGCCGAGGGCCAAAAAAGCAGCAGCAACAACAACAACTAATCGCTTTATGCGCTTTATCAACAACAACAACAACAAGCTGAGCATCATCCGCCGCAGCAACGAAAACGAAAGTCGGTCCAAAACAGAAACACGGATCTTGATTCCATCTCTCTCCCGCTCGCACTCGCGCACTCGCCCGCACTCGCACACTCGTGCTCTCTCGCTCTCGTAACTATAGCCGAAATGTAATTAAACCTCAAAGTGAAAATTGACCGCAAAAAAAACACACGCACACCAATCAAAAACAAATATAAGAGTAAGTGTTCTAACCACAGTCTAAATGTAATGTGAAAAAACACCAATCAAAAAATAAACATATAAAGAGTGTGTGTTCTAATCTCAGTGCAAATGTTGTGCGAAAACTACCAAAATACAAAAAACACCAATAACGAAAATAGTATAAGAGTAATTGCTCTTAAGTGTTCTGTGCTCAGTGTAAATAATGAAGAAAAAAACTTGTTAATTGGATTGCGTGCATAAAAAAAGACATTTCTCTCTACAAGTCTTTCTAACAAGACGCGTTCACTATTATTAATTACTATTAATAAACAATATAATATATTAAACAGCTTTAATACAATCTTCAATTAGTGCTCAGTGTTAACGAAAAAAAACTCGCTTTTTTTAATTTTCCGCATAAAGAGACTCTAATTCTCACTGTTCAAAATAAACAACTATTTTTAAGTTACTATTCATCACTTCTTCTCAGTGTTCAATACAAAAACTACTATTTTTCTACCTCCTTTTTGCATTATATAATTTCTGCTCAGTGTTAAGAAAAAACTCCTATATTACTGTTACTTTTCTTTCTCCCTCTCTCATCAACGCTTGCTGACAATTCGAAATCGAATCGCATAACTCAGCATAAATAATATTATATAAAACAGATTCAAACATATTCGAAATATTTCCCCTACACCCATTCCACTCTTCTTCTACCTCTCCTTCTCTCGATCTCTCTCACTCTCGCTGATGACTCTTACAACATCTGGCAAGAAAGAAGATGGACACACAACAATTATGCAAAAGCCAAACAAAAAAAAAAAATCGCTGAGGAAAGCAAAATGCAAACGCGTCAACTATGCAAATAATTTTGCTTGTGTATGTGTGTTTTGTCTGTTGAGGAACTGCGCCCAGTCCAAAAAAGTAAATATATATATATATATATATATATATGTATATATAACTCAAGTTCAGTCTGCGTTACAGTTTCGAGAAGCAGCACGCGACCTTAAGCAATGCCAAAAGCTTGAAAAATTCTCGCGCAGCAAGCGGCAATTTAAATGAAAAATGCGTGTCCAGTTTTTTTTTCGATTGCCCACCGGACCTAAAGCTGAGCGGCTCTTGCAATAATAAGCAATAAAACATAAAAAAAAACTTGGAATTATATTACGTGTGTTTCGCTTTGCGCTCAAAACGAAAACGAAAGCACCCCTCGATTCGAATTTACGGTACTCCAAGTTTTTGAGTCTTACTTCGAGTCGCTGCGGTCAGTTTGTCGAAGAAGAAGAAGCAGCAGCAGCAGCAGCGGACAAAACAGCTCAACTCGATTGGTTTGTTTTTGTTGTTCAATTGAACCTTAAACGTTGAAATTGGGTTGAGTTATTTGTGCTTTTTTTTTTTTGGTTTGCTTTTTTGGTTTTGTTTTGCTTTTGCATTTTGCTTTAAAACTTTTACTACGCGCGCGTTTTGTGCAAGAGCCGTTAAATGCCATAAACGCAAAAACAAAATTATGAGGCGCTAATTGTTGCATAAGTGCTAAACAACAACAGCAACATGGGCAAAACCTACAAATTTAAATGCAGTACCCGCTACAGTGGCTCAAGCGGCGTATGCGTAATGTTCTAAGCAAATATAGTGGGATAGAGAGAGAGAGAGGGAAGATGACATTAAAGCCACTAAAAATAAGCTTAATTTGCATTGCATTTTCTATATTTTCAGTACGCATTCAAAAAATTGTGTGTGAACTATTACAAATAAATAGTAAATAGCAAAAAGTAAATAAAGTAAATAAAGGTAAATAGTAATTATAGTTAACTGACCTTCGAGCCAATAAAAGTAAACCCGGTCAAACATTTTTTGTAAATATAAATTATAAATAAATGAAAATCAGAATAACAAATAAAATCAAGGTGATGGAAATTAGGCGCAGTCTGTGCTTGTTGGCTCTACTGGGCGTTGCCAAGGGCGCCACCAATCAGAGCTCCTCAACAACAACACAGACAACAGCAACAAGCAACACGTGGCAACAACAACAGCAACCAGTCGAGTATTATAAACATTTAAATGCAGCTGCGAATTTGGGCGATTTCCATGAGCCACACTTGACACGCAGCTCTGTCATCTTTGGTTTGACCAAAGTGGTCAACGAGAACAATGTGAATCTCCTGTGTGAATCCCATTTGCGGCAAGTGCAACATGGCATTCTCAGCAAACAGCCCTGGGCAATGAAAGGTGAGTGAATCGTCCGCTTTATTTCACTGTACAATATTTCTTTAAAATAAAAAAAAAAAACACTATCATTTTGTGATTATCGATTAGAAATTTTTAGATAATAATTTTCTTATATTTGAAAATTATTTCTGAAAACAAGAAAAACTTTCTAGGAGAATTTACGAAATTTCAAGTCGATTTTTTTCAGAGTGTAATTGAGTCTGAAAGTTTCCGCATTGAAAATGCAAATATTTTTGGAACAATCCGGAATAGTTTTCAGTTCAAATTGGCAACACGTCTATTGACAAACTCAACAAGTGTTTACTCAATATTAACAAGTGCAGCAACAGAAATAAATCTTGGAATACGGCAGACACTCGATTTTTCATATGACTCACAACTAGAGTTCAAGCTAAAGTTATGATTTAAATTAACATTGATAAATAAAAGTTAAAACTGTATATATTAAAATGCTGAAGCTAATAAGAATAGTCTGGTCGAGAGAGCTCGCCTGGAAGATATCCTGAACTCTGTTTTTAAATTGCTAGACTAGCTGACTAGCTGAGAGAACAGAGGATTTCTGGATGAAAGCAGCCATAAAACAGTAATCAGAATAGAAATATTTGAATCGGATTTGAAATCTGATCAGTAACATTACTATGTATACTATATATTAATTGTAATGCTATATTCTAACAGTCGTGTCTTGTATTATTATCTGAGATGCTTTCTATTGCCTGCTATAAACTATACCACAATATTTATTAAATATTTATAAATATATTTAATTTGAACTAAAGTCAGTCGACACTTAAAATACCAAAATATATAACATTACTTTTGAAAAATTAAATTTCAAATTCATTTAAATTAAAAGATAGGAAATATTTAAAAGATATACCCTTTTTGCATACATTTTGTGGATGCAGTGTATAAATATTAAAGGCAAACAGCAGTGAATGAGAGAGTTCAAGTGGATTTTAACCTGGGTTATAATTAGGCAAATTGTTGTTCCAGCTGGGATGTTAAATGAGCTTTTATATCCCAGCTGGAACAACAATAATTATTATTATTATTATTAAATGCGTCTTTATGTACCAGCTGGGTCAGTAATCTGATTAATTTCTTCGGGTCATTAGGGGAACTTTGCTTATTAATAGCTCATAGTTAACAACTTATTAGTTATTATTAATAGTAATTGTTTTATTACATAATTAGTATTTGTATTTATACATCCAAAAATAAAATCTTCTCTAGTACTCGATGCTTCGGGCACAAAACCCTCCGGATTTGTGTATGGCCAGAACTATTGGCTGGGCAGTCGGGAGGCGTGCAAAGGAGTACAGCATCCTGTGGGAATAACACTCTCCAAGAACTTTGAGCGTGTGATGCACCACGGACTAATAACACAGCAGGCACCCTTCGAGATGGATTATCGCGTGGTTTATTTGCGGCACAATTCACCGTGGCAAGTGGAGATCAAGTTGATGTCCGAGCAAATTATCCACATTGGCCTCTGCCTGCCACGAGCCTGCACCGGCGGCGAGGTGAAACAGCTGGCTGGGGAATATGTGTCCCGTGGCATGTTTGCGGAGAATGACATCTTTGACATACAGCCGGAGGTGTTGTACCTGAAGGATCTGGAGCTGAGCGATGCTTTCTATCAACGCACCAGTTTCCGGCTGCTCGTCATTTGTGTGCTGGCCACTTGTGCCCTGATGTTGTGCGCCCAGCAGAATCCTGCCGGCGAGGATTCGACCAAAGAAACAACTGTTGGCCTGGCACCAACTGAATCCGAGCTGTGGCGTGTTCTTCATTCCCTGCTGAGATGGGAGCAACTGCAGCAATTTGTCAGCTGCTACGATTTGCCCGGAAATTGGGCAAAGATTTTTGTGGTGCGTTCGATTCCCACTCAGAAAGAGATACCCGTGTTGAATGGGCTGAGGAGTGTGTGTGCCATTTGGATTATGATCTTTCATGTGGTGTGGTTCATGTATTTCACTGTGCACAACAAAACCGTGCTCATTTCCTATGCGGAGCAGGCATTCTTTCAGTACGTATCCTCAGCTCCGCTGCTGGTCGATGTTTTCTTTACCATCAGGTGAGTGGTTTTTGGATTGCTTAATACGTAATAATAATAATACAAAATACAAATGAACTTCATTCAGTGTAATTTAAAAATTCCGCTCAGTCGGTATTTTTTGGTATTATTTTGCGGCAGTATTACAGCTGTTCACATGTTAACAGAGAACGGAGATGTTAAAAATATCGATACACAACTTAACATTTCAAAGCCGGTCGGCTTTTGAATTGTTTACTTTGTTGCTTATTTTGCTAATGCATTATAAATAATAATAAACTAATGATTTCAGTGGCTTTCTGCAAACGTACAACTTTCTGCGCAACGCCGCCCAACTGGACGCAGTGCGTCAAAATGGATGGCGCAAAAATTTGAAGCTCTTTGGCAAACTGCTCTTTCATCGTTATTTGAGATTGGGTCCACTTTATCTCGTTGTGATGGCTTCGGTGGATTTGGTCTACGCCTATATTGGAGACACTTCAGTTTATCATATTAATGAGCGCTTTGATGAGATGTGCTCCAGGCACTGGTGGCGCAATCTGCTCTTCATTCAGAATCTCTTCGATCATCGCGATATGTGCGCCAGTTGGAGCTGGTCTTTGGCCTGCGAAATGCAGTATTTCATCTTGGCAAATTCGTTGCTCTTTTTATATGCCAAGTGAGTTGTGTTCGTTTATAAATTTGTTTTTATTTTTAATAACAACATTGAAATATTAACTGAGAGCAGACATGTTAAGTATGTCGATAAATACAACTTAAAATTTAAGCATTACTTTTTTGTTATACGTGCAAAGTATGCAAGTGTTTTCAAAATAAATTAAAAAATTCCGTATGGTATTTTCTTAGCAGTAACAGTTGTTGGCATTTTAACAGAGCGCAGACATTTTCAAAATATCTTAACAGTAATAACTGTTTTTTTGCAGGCATCCCCGACTCACCAAGACGCTGGTTACCTCCGCTTTGGTCTCAACTACCGTTTGGACCTACATTATTGGTCTTCGCATCGAGTTTCAATTGTCTTTCGACGCGGCCTTTGCCACGGGAACCGAGATTTACACATCGCCGTTTGTTCGAGTGCTTCCCTATATTCTGGGCGCCATCACAGCCTGGTTTCTGCTCGAGGAGGCGAAGCAGCCAGAAGTGGAGCCTAATAAGATGAGGAATCGTTGTTGCTGGCACTTTGCGCTGTTTGTGTTCATTGCCTGCATCTACTCCACGATTCGTCGAGATCTGGGTTCCTTGCTGGCCATTTCGCTATTTGTTTTGGGCAGACTGTTTTTCTCGTTGAGCGTCTGCTGGATGATTAGGGGCAGTGCGAGAGGGCGTGGCGTCTGGTGGTCCCGCATACTGGAGGCCAAGGGCTTCCAGCATCTGAGTCGGCTCTCGTATGCGATTTATTTACTAAATCCTTTGGTGATTGCCTTCTTCTACAGTTTAACCAGCGCCAGCACGCATGCAGATCCCTTAATGCTGGTGAGTTAAGATCTACAAATATATTTACTATATTATTTTTTATTTATATTTTATTTTCCAGTGCGTTGTCACCTGTGGCTTTGCCGTCATCGTCTATTTGGCATCCATTGTATTTTCGCTCGCCTTTGAATTGCCTTACAGCAATTTGTCTAGTTTGATTTTGAGGCGCAGCAAATTGAAAAGTGCCTGAGAAAGATGCTTAATTTCCTGTAATTAACTTTATAAGGAATGCCTCCATATTTCAATTGTGATCGCTTTTGCATGTACAACAAACAATAACAACAACCACAACTCAATATTATCAATAGTTTAGTCGTATTTTATATATATATTTGTAGGTACAAAATAAATGCTTTCAAAAACTCAATTTTATGCGATATTTTTTTGGTATTATTTAGGAGCAGTAATAGCAGTTGTTAGCATTTTATTTGTGTGAAAATATCGATATAATATTGGCTTGTTTACTTTGCTTATACTTAAAAAAAAAATAATAATGCATAATAATAACATCTTAGATATGCCTGAAAGTAGTTTAAATTAAAAGTGAAATTTAATTATTTATTATATAAGGCCATTAGCCATATTTAAAGCCCATCGAAACTCAAACGACTATCGATATGTCGATAGCTTGGCTTGCGCTTCAAACAGATGTAAAGATGTGTGGAAATATTTGTAGTACGCTTGCGTATCGACTAGTCTCTCTCGCTCTCTGCCGTTGCGCTGATGTTAAATTGTTTAAATTTTAATCACAGGTGCCTGTGTGTGAACCAAAGTAACAGAGCACAGCCAGACAGTGCTGCGCCGGCTGCTCCAAGGAAAAGTACGTCTGCTGCGGACGCAAGTAAAAATAAAAAGCGCGTCAAAAAAAAAAAAAAATCAAGTGCTGAGTTCTCCATATCTGTTGATATCTTATAATAATATATCTATATCATATCTTTATAATAATTGCAAAAAATTCAAGCTTAAGCTTGCAATAATTATGTTTAGTTAAACATACATGAAAACGTGGAAAATAAGTGAAAGCAAGTAACAACAAAAATGTGAAAAATTTGCAAAAGCGACGCGCATCTCAGCATCAAAACGGAGCATCCTTGTGAGTGAGTGTTGCTCTCCTTCTCTCTGTGTACGTGTGTGTGTGTCCTTGTGTATATGTATATGCCATGAGATATCTTAATTTACTGCAAATTCCAATTTGACAAAAAGTAAATAAATAAATAAAAATAAGGTAAAAACGTTTTGTTTTTTCGTTGAATAAATGAATGAGGAAATGTCAATTTTTTAAAATGTTGCGTCCAAAAGAAAACGATGCAAAAAATGAGTATTAATTTTATTTTTTTTACAAATGTTTCTTTTTATTGCTTATTCCACACAGATACGCAACCACTTGCTAATCTTTGTGTGTGTGTAGGCAGGTAAGGAACCTCTATTAAAATTCATGCAATTAAATTATGAATTAAATTTGGCGTGAAAATATTGTGCACACATTTAAATATATACACATATGCATATACACAAAAAAATTGATGTGTTTTGTGTTCTATTTTTGTTCACCTGAATTTGTCGTATCTTATCAGCAATGTCAGCATCATTGAACAGCTATTGTGTGCTCTCGCACACACACACACACACAACTTCGCTTAGCACCGTCTCTCTCCCACTCTTTTTTTGTCTGCTCTTGTTGCTATACGTGGAATTCTCTGGATGCTCCGTTTTGGCACTTTAACTTTTACAGTTCTTTGCATGTCGACGTCTGTCGCGCTCGCACTCATGCGACTGACCTTGAACAAGTCCAGCTGTCTTTGTTCTGCTTTTTGTTGTTGCTTCTGCCGGTTGTTGAAGCCTTGGCCTTGGCTGCAGTCCCGCATAGTAAATTGTTTGCTTAACACACACACAGACACGCATGTGTTCTTTGGCAAAGCAATAATCAAATATTTGCAGTCAATTAATATTATTAAAAGCGGTGCCGCTGACGACGACGACGCTTTCACCCATCACGTGTTCAGCAGCGTCCGTGTCTCGCTCGCTCTCTCTCTCTCTCTCTTACAGCAACTCTGTCGCAAAACTCTCATTTGCTTCTGTATTTCTTTGCATGTGTGTGTAAATGTTAACATTTACATTCTCTTTTTTTTTTTGCTTATTGGAACTGATCAACACTGAACACTATTAAATATTAACACAAGATGCTTATGCGTGTGTTTTCGTACATTGAACCCTCAGCAGCGACTGCTTGTGACGTCACAAACGTATCTGCCTGGGTTTTCTTGTTTGATGTTTTTTTTGCATCTATGAATCATTTCCATTAAGTGTTGCCAACAAAAAAATAAAAAATTTAAATAACCTGCGGCTGAAATTAATCACTCTCTCTCTCTCTCTCTCTCTCTCTCTCTCTCACTCTCTCTCTCTCTCTCTCTCTCTCTCTCTCTCTCATTGTTTGCTTATTGTATTTGGCAGTAGCGCATTATTTATTTTTATTGCATAGCTTTCTTTATTTAGATAGTCTTATCAAGCAATTAAATGAAATTATTTTGACGTAATTGCCTTAAAAGATTTGATATTGATTTGACAATAATTAACTGCCCTGAAGCTCTACGCTTATCTATTCACTCTTATCAAGTGTTCAGTCAATAAACACATAAATTAAATGTTTGCAAATTGTACTACGATATGAATTAATTCATTGATTTTTATCTTTATTCATTCATTAATGCACTTCAAGAAATGTTTAAAAATAGCATGAAGACATTGTGCAAAGGAATGTAATACGAAGAAGGAATATATCTCCTAGCTTAATTTGGATTATAGGTGCTCGTTTGCGAAACGCAGGTCAAGTTGATCGATAGACATGATTCAAACTAGTACATTGAACCCTATCGCTTAACGCTTATCGACACGAGTTGCATAAACTTTTATTATAAGAAATAAAAAGGCAAAAACTGCAGTTTGCACAAATTGCAGATGTTATTGCTCAAGTTGAATATTGCATTTTTTCAAGCGAATTGGCTATCTGAAATTTCCATGTTTTCAATTTTAAATGATTGCCAAGCATAAATCGCATTGCTTGAGTCAATAATAAAGAAGATATATGTATGTAAATATATATATATATATAATATAATAATATAAAATACATATTTATATATATCATATCATATATGTATATATTGTGAGATGTAATAATCGCCCTTGTACCTTTGTCAACGCCTTAATTCAAATTTGTATCTGTCTTTCTCAGAAATATACACAAATTATCATATATATATATATGCCACGCCTTTTATTATGTCTGCGTGCATGCCACTCGTTCCCAGCTCCACAGAGGAGGAAGGGAAGGGATGTGTGGCGGTGGTTGGTGGGGGAAGGGTGCACTGGTCAACGGCCCATTTTCTTGGCCCTTGGCTGTGACTGACTTGTGAACTGCGACAGCCGTGAAAATGTAAACAAAATGCGCGTAATTAAATTTTCATACGAAAGCACGAGGAAATTTGTTCATAAATTATTCAGACTCACCTTTTAAGCAGACAACCCCCTCCCCCAGAACCAACTAGGCGTGTTCCCACCCCTGTAAAAGTTACTATTTGCAACTAATACTTATCATTTAGCTGTTGTCAGTTTTTAATTGGCAATTTCTGGAAAGCTGACTGACTTTCCTTTACTAACTTTTTCCCTTGCTCTTTCAGTGTGTACCATGTCCACAAAGTTTACGGGGCAAGTTCAAGTCGTGCACTCTGATTTTCTTCTTTATAATGCTGTCTGATTTCCAAGGTGTTAAAAAGCTTACGATAATATAAAAGTCGAGCTAGTAAATTTCATTAATTGCTTATGAATTTCTTCTAATATTTTATTATTTCTAAAAACTAAAACTATTTTCTATTTTTATGGCGTTTTTTTCTGTGTGCTTCTCACAGTTAATTACATATATATATGTACTCGTATGTATGTATATATATATATATATATAGCTGCTGGTTGGCCGATTGCTTCCGATGTCGGCTTGTTGCTGCTTTGTGGCATGTGGGCATTTGCTAGCGCCGGCACAAATGCAGCCTGCTTCCTTTTGGAGATATAGCGACATAAACATACAGATAAATATACATTTACTGAGCCGCAGATGCAAAGCGTCGACAGACACATCCACATCTGGTGTGGGCCGGCAAATATTATTTTACATATGTTGCAATTCGTTGTGTCTGTGGCACAGCGTTTAAAATGCAACTTGAAGCAAACAAAATCATCAAACAGCAGCTGAGGACTTACAATCTGTCATTGCTTGTTGCAAGAGGAGGAGAGAGACCCTCACCACGACTATCCTCGTATAAATCATAATGAGCACTAAAATAGTCAAATATATAGAAATAAACTTCGGCAGAAAGGAAAACTCATAAATTATAATGGTTCGGTGTTTATATAATATTCAATTGGAAGGCTATATGTCTACAATAGTGTATTTTATTGCTATCGGAAATCTATTTGAATCGATAATTTGAAGTAAGAGCAGTTATCGATAAAATTAATAAGCTTGAACTGCGTTTGGTAAACGAGAACTTGTAATCCAATTTGGAAGTTTCTGGCTCTTATAGTCTCTGAACTTGGCTTGCGTATGTAGACAGACCTTTGTATAACTTATTTATAATAATATTAACTCTGGTTGCTAACTAATATTGAACTATTTCGCGATATGAGTTGCTTATAGATATTATCAAAGCTGGTGGTGGTTACAGCGGGGAAGAAGAGGAGTTTTTAGCTTCCGGCACATATTATTCAAGCCTTATATTAAATATATACCGACGGTTGTCGGTTGCACGTCTGCTTGTATGTGACGTGTTGCCACAAAAGGTAGCTGCGTACTGCTTGTGCCCGTCAGGCACGTATTGCCAACATCACACTCGCACACACACTCGCACTCACACACACACACATTTATGCGTAGAAGTGTAATTGAAATTTGCGGTGTTTGCATTATTAAGGAAGCAATTGCACAGATGTGTTTGCCACATACACACACACTTATACATATTTAGCATATGTTCTACATATTTAGCAAATGTTGTATGTATGTATGCAACACACCTCTTAAGGCTGCGTGCCTCAATTGGGTTTGGCTTGTTGCCTGTCGTCGCGATAAGATTTCGAGCGTGCCAATTGCGCCCCGATGAGATTAGTAGCGATAACAGTTATCGAATGTGAATCTATTGTCCAATTAGTGTAGTAACTAATCAATATTTTCACGTATCTTTCAGTCGGACTAGCATGCTCATGATAAAGTCTACTTAAAAAAAAGTTATCGGCAATAGTAAACTATGAATGAAAAATTATTGTAATCTTCAAGAAAATAGTGTACTTATAAACGCCGTAAAGGCGAGAAAATTAATTCATTACGTTCTTGCATCTCAGCAGACCTTTTAATATATTGCAATTTCGCAACCGAAATTTTTCGTCGATCTGTGAACAACATTCAAGTTGCTGTTATCGGTCGCTAGTTGCTGTTATCAGTAGTTAGTTACAGCTGTTATCTTATCTTAATTCTATGAATTTATCCCCAACTAAATACTCAATTTAGCTTTTGCAATAATTGCACAATAAAAAGCTTATTTTTTTGCACATGGTCAGATAGTTGAGTAGTTCTTGTAATTCGCCTGTGTTTAATATCGAAATGTAGATCAATATCTATTTGGGAAAGTAGCGTTATTTTCGTGTTGTTTGCTGTTTTTTAAAACCGTTACAAGCAAAAGTTCATGGCAATGGTTATTAAAGGAGCCGCAAACAGGCATAGCCTGCGGAGGCGGGGAGCGGGGTAAGGCGAGACGAGGCGAAGCCGAAAGG